ATTAACTGGTCTTCCTTATATAGATATTATCCTATCACAGACAGCATTACAATGCAGGATAGACCTTGAAATGTTCTTTCTGATGATGAATGTGATGCCATTTCTCTTCAATGTGTCATTCCCAGCATAATAAACTATGTGACTGTCAGACACGAAATAGGCAACACCAGTCCACTTCAGCTAAGACCTCGGATGATACTGCTTTTAATGCATTCCATTTCATTTTTGACAACCTCCAATGTTCCTAGATTCATACTTCATGCATTCCACGTGCCAGGTATTAACGGATGTTTACAGCTCTTTCTCCTCATTTTCATCAGCATATGAAGGTTCCAAGCTTTACTCCATACGCGTCATCACGGTCAACTCTACTTTGAGGGGGCAGCTCCTCCCTAGCCATATTTTGGGTGCCTTCCAACCTGAAGGACATACCTTCTGACATTTTATCTGACAATATTCTGGTGGTATTCATCATGTTCCAATATTCAGTATTCTGGTGCTGATAGTGTTTCACTGCAAGTCCTAAGGTTTTCAGTGGCTAAACATTTATAAGTAGTCCACCGCTCCTTCTTCCGAGCCTGGGTTAATCTGGAAGCTCACCTAAAACCTGTCCACCATGGGTAACCCTGCTGGCATTCAAAATACCAGTGGCATGGTTTCCGGCATCAAAGTGACATACAAGCCACCACAGTGCAACAAACAGACACGCATTGTTTACATATAAAATATTTACTGGTTAAGTGTACATACATGGGTTAGTACCTATTCTTCAAAGTAACTGCCTAGGTCAAAAGTTTGCTCTTTTTCACTGCTGAGTGGTCTTCCAGTTTTGGTTATACTTTAAGAAACTAACTGGAGTTTTGGTGAGTAGGTAACATTTAATAATTTACCTATTTAACAAAATAAAGGGAAAAGGTCCTCTGTATTTTTGCATAGCACATGAGACTTGCAGTAAAGATTACTAAGTGGAAGAAGCCTGTATATCCTTGAGAAAAGAGTCAAATGGACCCTGTGGGGGCCTTCCAAAGGCAGTAAGGACCAAGTGGGCCTGAAAGAGTGAAGGCTAAGGATGCCACCAGTCACTGAATGCATTCAACTGATACTAAATACCAAGGACGGCTCGATGTCAGGAGTGAGCAAACAACCATCAGTTAAATATTCTAAATATTTTAGACTTCATGGGACATACAGTCTCTGTTGAAATTACTCAACCCTGCTATTATAGAACGAAAGCAGCCACAGGCAACGAAAGACTCTAAAGTGGCTAGGGTCCAATAAAACTTTATTTACAAAAACAGGTGGTAAGCCGGTTTAGGCCTAGGGCCATAGTTTATCTCCTGTTCTTGATGATTAGGATGGCGTGAGGACCACAGGAACATCCAGGGACTTTCAGTGGGGGTTGGCGAAGTGCTAGTACTGTGTTCTAGCTACAGACAAATAATAAATACACACAAAATATCTTGTCTTTAGTAGTGATGAGCGTTATTAAACCAATGAAGGAAGGAGTGTAAAGAAACAGAACACTTTGGGGGCAAACGTTACATCAGGAAAGGTGCTGGCAGAGCCAGCAGACAAAAAGTGAAGGGAAGATACGGCAAGAGAAGGGGGAGCAAACAGTGGCGAGTGCGCGGACAGACAGGCGGGGGCGTGCAGGGATGCGCAGTGAGAGTAGGAGCCTGAGTGTTATGAGAAGCTAGTCCAGGAAGCCCAACAGCCCAGGTCCGTCAGCGTCCAGCCGTGCATGGGCCCTGGGAGGATTCCCTTCAAGGTGCACTGGGAAGCCACTGGAGGAGTCACAATCCATCTGCTGGGTAGAAACTAGAGGGCAAGAGGGAAGGCCGAGGGATGAGATGGTGACACTGTGAGCTGTCGTGGCTGAGGTGGTGTCAGGTGGGTGGCCTTGGAAGGATGGTGAACATGGGTCTGGTGAAAATATGCAGGTGAGAGAGTAAGAGACTCCAGGATGGATGGCTTTCAGGTTCTGAGCTGAGCAGGTTCTGTGATACAATTTCCTGAGATGTTCAAGACTAGGAACCGCAGCAGGTTTCCCAGGCGTAGTCGTGCTAAGACTGATGTGCCAATTAGAAGCAGACACAGCAAGTTGGATATATTAAGTCTGGAGCTCAGCACGAGGTCAAGGCCAGAGACACACATGCGGACGCACAGACTTAGCAACGGTCTTTTAAGCTGTGGAAGCAGGGCTAATTACCCAGGGCAGGAGCCACGACCGAGAAGTGGTCTGAGGACTGAGCTAGGACCTTTTTCCTTGAGTACTAGAAGCCATCATGAAAGGAGCCCGCAAGGACACAGGAGTCTGCCAAAGAATGAGGACCGGAGACATCTTTGTACCCCTGGACCTCTATACACTACCGAAACCCAGCCACCCCAAGGTCTTTAGCTGTGTCAGTACCCCTGGGTACCCGCTATTTGAATGGGCTGATTCTCAGATTCAGGGGAATCGTGCAAAATACAATTCTTCATACATATAATTCTGCTAAGGAGTCCTGGTGTGGTGTTGTAGAGTAAGCACTGGACTTCTAACTGCAAGGTCAGTGGTTCAAACCCACCAGTCACTCCTCCAAAACCCTATACAGGGTCGCTATGAGTTAGAACTCACTCAAAGGCACTTAACAACAACAACAATCAACAGTGCCTCTTGCCATAAGGAGCTCAGTCTATCAGAGGACTAAAATCAACACGCTACATTACGTACTATTAGAATGGAATGCACGGGGGTGGCCTGAGAGAAGGGAAGATAAGAGGGGCAAACAATACAGAATGCAAGAGGAAGGACAATTGTGCCTACTTTTCTAATTTCTTTATACTTATGCCAACAGTAAAATTAATACGCGTAAGGTAAGAATCATTCTAGAACCACAAGGATTATAGCGCTGGAGTGGGAAATTAGCATGGAAAATACATTAACGAGATCATTCAAATGTTGTTGGTAGGTGCCATCCAGTGGTTCCATCTCCCAGTGACTCTGTACATAACAGAATGAAGTGCTGTGCAGTACTGAGCCACCTCACGATCACCGTGTATGTGTGCGCCTGTTGTTGAAGCCACTGTGACAATCCATCTCGTCGAAGCTCTTTCTCTTTGTCGCTGACCCTCCATATTACCAAACAGGAGGTCATTCTCTGGGCACACATTTCTCCCAACAGTTATGTCCAATGTTATACACGACTAGTCTCTGTCTGTACATTCAGGCTGTACTTCTCCCATGACAGATTTGTTCACTCCTCAGGTGCCAGTTCCCGGTACAGTCAGTATACTTCACCAACACCATAATTCCAAGGTCTTCCTTATCCACTGCATGCATATGAGAGGGTGAAAATACCATGGTTTGGTTCAGGTATACTTCAGGCTTCTAAGAGACATCTTTGCTTTTCCACACTTTAAAACAGTCTTTTGCAGCAGATTTACCCAATGGAATAATGCAAATACGACCAATAAAAGCAATGCTTTATGCAGTTACGACTGTGTTTTCAGTGTGTGGCCTGACTATCCCTGCAAATTACTGTTACCTCTTATAGTACAAGACGTAACATAAAAATATTAGCCTTAGAATCTGGCTTTCCATCCTCAGTTTGCTGAACACTGGAGCTGGGTGATCTTGGTCAAACTGGTTTATTTTTCCTAACCTGCAAAAGGTGGCAAAACAGAACTCACAGACTGTCGATGACGCGACACTGAGATCACATGGGAAGAGTGCCCAGCACAGGAGCAACGCAAATCACGCTCCTTTTCGTTTATAATGTGTCATTCGGCACTGACTCCCACCTACCCGCTGATCACCTACCAGTGTAACTTTACTGAGCTGTCAGAGGGAGATGAATTCAAATGCCAGAATTCATCTCAGGTTAGCTAAGAACATGGAAACAGCTCTCAAATCTACTATCAAGAGCAGCAAACTTTTTTAGAAGATCATTACGCCAATCATTGAAACCAAGGCGTGCCCAAGACTTTCTCACCTACGCTTTCCTGTGTCTCTGGTATACCCAAACACAAAGACCCAAATTACTGAAACCTTATTCTTTTCTGAGAGGGAAAAAAAACAACAACAAAAACCTGTGGGTTTTAAAGACTATGTAGTTTTGTAACTGTTGTTAGCTAGGGCACATTGTTGGGAAGGAGTGCAGAAAGTGGGTCTTTGCTGCTTTTAAGGGGTGGGTTCATTATTTAACATTGAAAAAGAACCATTTGGTTAGAAGCCTCTGGATTTCTGTGATCATACTGCTGACATGGGCTACCAAAAGAACCAACAGATCTGTGTTGGAAGTAGTGCAGCCAGAGTGCTCCTTGGAGGCCAAGACGACCAAATTTTGTCTCTCATACTTCAGACATATTGTCAGGAAGGACAAGTCGCTGCAGAAGGATATCATGTTTGGTAAGGTGGAAGGTCAGAGAAAAAGAGGAAGACCCCAGTGACACGGATTGGCAAAATGGCAGCATCAATGGGCTCAAGCGTGGCAACAACTGTGTGAGCTTGGCCCAGGACCGGGCAGTGTTTCATTCTGTTGTGCACAGAGTTGCTCTGAGTCAGTACCGACTCAATGGCACCTAACAACAACAACTGCTAACAACATGCAGAATTTTTCTCAAAGTCCAGCCTTTTCCTGTCGTAATTCCATACTGAGCACACAAAACCACTCCGCTGCAAGACAGAGCTCCACGAGCTGACTCTGATGACCCGTCTGCGGGGTGATGAAATGTTTGTAAGGTGAGGGTGGTTTTCAAAGTACGCCTGTATTGTTTTCATCTGCCAACTGCTGTTCGTGTGAAAAGGCTCATTTAAACACAAGTGAATATTCCAAGAATATCTGAAGCCATTCTAATAATTTCCTAGGCCCATAAGAGGCATTAAATCAACAGACAAGCGCCTGATTTTTATTTTTTTTTTTTAAGTAACAAAAGAAAACCTGATTTTTAAAGACACCTGAGAGGAAAGTCCTCTGTGGGCCGTCCTAGAGCAGGGCCCTCTGCCCAGAGATACTCACGGCCACTCCGACTCGGGCTGCAGCTGGTGGGCTTCGATAACTCCAATGGCAACATTCAGGGTTTCTTTCAGCTCGCTCATCCTCTCAGAGTTAAGCGTTGTGAACATGATCATCGAAGAGTAAGCCACAATCTTTTTGTCATGATGATTTAAGCAAGTACTTAAAAACACAAAAGTGAAATTCTTAGCCTAATTCAGCAACATGATAAAATGATTGCAGTATATAGTATCATACACATATTCAATATATGCTGTTTTTAAGATTTGATAATTAGATAACACTTTGAAAAAGGAACATTATGTATTTTCAGACCATCTCATTCAAAACAGTAACATAGAAAATTTGTCAAAATAAAAACTACCCAATATTGAAGTTTTAAACAGACTTGTGACTTGGAAGCAAAAGGGGCAGAACATTTTATTTAAGAAGAAAATTAAATTAATGCATTTATAAAGTACTTATTCCCATTTCTATTTTTAATCAAAGATAAAAACTACCCAGTATAGACCCTACAGCGCCCCCCGCCCCCCCAGGACTCTGCACTTGCCCTTGCTGTGTTGTTATTATAGGTACTGTACCTGTCTGCTCCTCTAGCTCCCCCACCAACACAGGGGCTCCTTGGGGATAGGAATGCATTTAACTACCACTGTACTCCAACTGGCCTGAGGCACACAACAACCAGCAGGGAAACCAAGTACAGAAAGTATTCAAAATGGTTTAAAGGAATCAATTCTCAAAATTAAGTAACTCTTCTTTCTGTATGTAACCTGAATCCCATAATTCTTTCCTTCTACCTACATTCAATTATTATTAATCATAGGATAACAGGCATTTGTATCCCTTTGTTGGTAAGTACCGTGGAGTCTCTGGTAGCGTAGTGGTTACGAATCGGGCTGCGAACCTTAAGGTCAGCGGTTCGAAACTACCAGCCACTCCGCGGGAGAAAGATGAGGCTTTCTACTCCCGTAAAGATTTACACCCTAGGAAACCCTGTACTGGGTCGCTATGGGTCGGAACCGACTCGATGGCACTTAACAACAACAACAACCGTGGAGTCAGTTCCGACTCATAGTGACCCCGTGCACAGGGTTTCCGAGGCTGTAAATCTTTCCAGGAGTAGACAGCCTCATCTTTCTCCCGTGGAACAGCTCATAGTTTTGAACTGCCAACCTTGAGGTTAGCAGCCCTATTCGTAACCACTACACTACCAGAGGTCCTTTTTTTAATATCCCTTAAGCCCTAATTATTCGCAGGAATTTGAGTACCACATACAAATCACAGAGCTGGAAGTGATCTTTAGAGACCATCTGACCACAACCCCATTCCTACAGATGGACCCAGAAAAGCTACAGCGCCAGGGACCCCGAGCTTGGTCCTTAGGAAGAAGGGAGGCCATGCCCTAGAGAGAGTGTAGGCTCACCTCTAGGCTGAGCCAGTTTCCAGGGAAAAGCTTGGTTCCCTCACTAGTCAGAACAGACACAATGCACTTCAAGGCAGGGCTGCTGGCAAGAAGGGAACGGTTGTTGTTGTGAAGTGCCGTCTAGTAGGTTCCGACTCACAGCGACTCTGTATAGGGTTTCCAAGGAGCAGCTGGTGAGCTTGAACCTCTGACCTTGGGGTTCAAACCGACTTTGCAGTCTAGCGCATGAACCCGCAGTGCCACACCAGGACTCCACCAAGAGAGGAACAATAAACAGTAACCGCCAACTCAGGACATTCAGACCACAGCCACTACCGCCACCACAGTCACCAGCTCACTGGCCAGATCCCTCCCACTCCCAACGGACACTGTTCTGCTACCAGTCCTGCCGTCATCACCTGAACACCTACACCTCAATGCTCAATTTCTTAGGCATCAACAGAGCTGGCTGAAAAGACCCAACAGACCAGCAGGAAAAGTAGCAGGCTCCAACCTGGCTAGATGGCCGCTTCCTCACATGCAACATTTCACCACCAGCTAACAACGCACACAGCACTGTGCTAACAAAGCACAGCCTAATGCCCCACACATTCAGGACGAGTTAACTCTCCATACTTCTACCATCATTTCAGTGCTTCACACTGAAGGTTTTTTCTTATAAATTTGTGTGTTCTTAACATTATTCTCAGAATCCTGGTATGGCACCAGGATTGAACTGCATAGGACAAGCATTGGATTGTTAATCTCAAGGTCAGAGGTTCAAAACCCTGTACAGGGTGCTAATCTGTCTACAGCCGGGTATCCACTGCCCCATCTTTAGTTCTCCCGAAGATTCCCTTGGGCCCTCTCCCAGACCCACCACAAACCAACGACCTCTATACTGGCTCTGTCACCATGGATGGGGTCCTCCTGGTTTTCAGTGTCACACAAATGGGATGCTACAGTAAGCAGACATGTCTCAGTCAAGATACTCACAAAAAGAGTTCTGGGAAAGCATGCGCCCACACGACAGACTGGGATTCTTCATTGCGGGAGGCGATGTTGCCTAAAAACTGCAGGCCACAGCGGAAAGCTGAGAACAGAACACAGCAAAAATGAAATAACAATGAATAAAATAACGTCTGACCCACACAAGAAAGAAACCCGTCATAACAAGGACTAGCCCCATGTGATTACACCGTAAAGTTTCACTCGTCTTCTCTGAGCTAAAGAGCGCTCTTCTCCACAAGGTCACTTGTAACATGACATGAATACTTAAGTATCACCAAAACCGTTGTTATTGTTAAGTGCCGTAGAGTCGGTTCTGACTCAATAGCAACCCTGTATAGGGTTTCCAAGGAGCAGCTGGTGGGTTTGAACTGCTGACTTGGTGGTTTGCAGTCTAGTGCTAATCTTACAGCGCCAAACCAGTAGACAAAGCTAATCAGCTTCTCAAATAAGACTGTTAATGTGGCGATACTGACGTTAATGTAATTCAATTAAATGACAGTGACTTAAGACAAGACTTTGAGAACTCTAGCTACATGCCATTGAAAACAGGTATGTGCCATTTACAGCATGCCATTTAAAACTGTTAAACCACTGAAAGGTAAACAATGGGAGAAAGACTCACGGGGCAGGGGCCAGCCTACACAGAAAGTCACAGGCCAGAGAAAACCAGACATCAGCAACTTACAGCAAAAAAAGCATTCTTGGACAAACAGACCTATGAATATGTTGGTGCATACAACACCCAGAGTTGTTGTTAGGTGTCACTGAGTCGACACTGAGTCATAGCAACCCTATGCAAACACAATGAAACACTGCCTGGTCCTGGGCCAACTTCACAACCATTACTACACCGGAGCCCATTGCCACTGATGCTGTGCCAATGCATCTCATTGGAGGTCTTCGTTGTTTTCACTGACCCTCCACTTTACCAAAGACTGGTCCCTCCTGACAGTATGTCAGAAGTCTGAGAGATGAAGTTTACCCATTCTGGCTTCTGAGGAACACTCTGGCTGTACTTCTTCCAACACAGATCTGTTTGTTCTTTGGCACTTTCAATATTCCCCTCTAACACCATAACTCAAATGCATCAATTCTTCTACAGTCTTCCGCATTCACTGTCCTACTTTAGCATACACATGAGGTTATTGAAAATACCACGGGTTAGGGCAGGCGCCCCCTTATCCTCAAACTGACATCTTGGCTCTTGAACACTTTAAAGAGGTCCTGTGCAACAGATCTGCCCAAAGCAATACGTTGTTTGATTCCTTGAGTGTTGATGGTTGATCTAAACACAATGAAGTTTTGACAACTTCAATCTTTTCTCCATTTATATGGATGTTGTTAATTGGTCCAGTGGTGAGGATGTTTGTTTTCTTTACATTGAGGTGTAACCCTACTGAAGGCTGTGCTCTTTGATCTTCATCAGTAACTATTTTAAGTCCTATTCACTTTCAGCAAGCAAGGTTGTATCGTCTGTATATTGCAGGTTGTTAATGAGTCTTCTTCCAATCCTGCTGCCATGTTTTTCTTCACAGAACCCAGCTTCTTCAGATTATATGCTCAGCATACAGACTGAATTAATATGGTAAAAGAATACAACCCTGGCGCACACCTTTCCAGATTTTAAACCATTCGGTGTTCCCTTGTTATGTTTGAACAACTGCCTCTTGGTCTATGTACAAGTTTCTCATGAACATCATTAAGTGTGTAAAGTAAGAATATTCACTCATTTTACACAATGTTGTTCACAGCTTGTTATTATCCAAACAATCAAAAGCCTTCGTGTAGTCAATAAAGCACAGGTAAACATCTTTGTGGTATTCTCTGCTTTCAACCAAGATCCATCTGACATCAGCATGCTATCCTTCGTTCCACGTCATCTTCTGAATACATTGGAACCTCTGCAATGTATGATGGCAGCCATTTTTGTATTGTCTTTAGTAAAACTTTGCTCGCATGAGATATAAATCACATTGTCCGATAATTTTCATATTTTATTGGGTCACCTCTCTTTGGAATGGGTACAAATACAGATCTCTGCCAGTCAATTGGCCAGGTAGTGGTATTCCAAATTTCTTGGCATAGATGAGTGAATGCCTCCAGGGCCGCATCATTTTGTTCAAAGATTTCAATTCTATTCCTAGTGTCTTGTCCTTTGCCCATGAGTTTGATGCACCTTGGGATTCTTCCTTCAGTATTATTGGCTCTTAGTCGTATGCTACCTCCTGAATTTTTTTTTAGCATCGACCACTTCTTTTTGTTACAGTAACTGTATTCCTCCCATCTTCTTTTGATGCTTTCTGCATCATTCAATATTTTGCCCATAGAATCCTTCAATATTGCAAGTTGAGGCTTGAATTTTTCTTCAATTTCCTCATCTTCAGAGATGCTGTGCATGTTCTTCCCTTTTGGTTTTCCACCTCCAGGTCTTTGCACATTTCATTATAATGTTTGACTTTGTCTTCGCAAGCTGACCTTTGAAATTCTGTTCAATTCTTGTACTTCCATTTGCTTTAGCATCTGTACGCTGGAGAGCAAGTTTCAGGGTCTCTTCTGACACCCATTTTGAACTTTTCCTTCTTTCTTGTCTTCTCAATGACCTTTTGCTTTACTCCTGATGTTCTCGATATCATCTCACAACTCTTTTGTTATCCGGTCTTTAGTGTCTAATGCCTCAAATTGGCTCTTCAGATGATTTCTAAATTCAGGTGGGATATATTCAAGGTCTTATTTTAACTCTCATGGACTTGCCTTAATTTTCTTCAGCTTCAGTCTGAACTTGCAGATGGGCAATGCCAGGAGGCCTTGCTTCGGCTCATAATATGGAGCTTTTCCACCATCTCTTTCCAAAGACATAGTCAGTTTGATTTCTGTGTTTTCCATTTTCATAGATGTAGTCAATTTGATTTCTGTGTTTTCCATCAGGTGAGGTCCGTATGTACAGTCATTTATGTTGTTTAACTAAGGTATTTAATGTTGTTTAAAAATACCTTATTTAATGAAGAAATCACTCATCTTGCAAAATTCTATCATGCGATCTCCAGCATAGATTCTATCACCAAGACTGTATTTTCCAACTACCGATCCCTCCTCTTTGTGTCCAACCTTTGCATTCCAGTCACCAATAATCTTTATTGTATGTTTGATCAATTTCAGACTGCAGAAGGTGGTGGTTGTTGTTGTTATGTGCCGTGGAGTCAGTTCCGACTCACAGCAACCCTGTACAGGGTTTCCGAGGCTGTCAATCTTTACAGGAGCAGAAAGCCTTATCTTTCTCCCAAGAAACAGCTGGTAATTTCGAACTGATGACCCTGTGGTTCGAACCACTACGCTACTAGAGCTCCTTAGAATTCTTCAATTTTATCATCACTGGCTTTAGTAGTTGGTGCATAAATTTAAATAACAGTACTATATTAACTGGTCTTCTTAGATACTATCAAACCTCTTAAGGTAATGATTGCTGGCCCTGGGGTCTCAGGACCATAAGTGTTGGGGGACACATCATGATCAGTTGGTATAACATAATCCACAAAAACAATGTTCTATATCCTACATTGGTAAGTAGCCTCTGGGATCTTAAAAGCTCATGAATAGCAATGTAAGGTACAGCTATTGGTCTCTCCATGTGTGGAAGACAGAAGAGTTAGGAGCATTGAAGATGCTTGGACTCAACGGACTAAAGGAACATGTGAACACCAGTCACCACAACTCTGGGACCAGAAGAACTAGATTGGTACCGGGTCACTACCACCAACTGCTCTGAAAGGGATCAATTACATTAGAAGATCCCAGATGTGGTAGCAAAAAATATAGACCAAAACTCAAAATTACAAAAAAAAAAAAAAGACCAGGCTTATTGGTCAGAAAGAGACTCAAGGAACCCAAGCCTCTGGCCTTGGACCACCCTTCACCTCTGG